GAGGAAATGAAACGTTGCTTATTTGAAAGGAAGAAAGGCAGATCTGAAAAGGCAATCTGTAGAGATGTAGGAGAAAACAGACATACTCTGCATGAAGTTATGCAACACGCAGAGCTGCAGGCATAAAATTTGTTTAAAACAGGTCAAAGTAGACTTATAAGATCTCTATCCAAAACTAAAGCAATATCAAGAAACCATAAAAAAACAATATTTCTTTGTTTTGCTCCCCATTTGCTGTTCCAGCATGTAAAATTACTGAGCCTGTCATCTCAAATGTAAGGAAACAAACTTTCGACAACAAACACTGAGGATCTTATCTTGTTTGAGCATTTATTTCATGGTTACTGATCAACAAACGAGCTGATTAGAGCTGCGTTTTGGGCAGGAAACTCATCAGTGTATACTTTTGGTTTAATTCCTGCTTCATGTCAGTAAAATGCTGTCGCCTTTATAAGGTGCTATATTGACATTTGGATTTGAAACCACTTCAGGCACAAAAATATCCCAGAATTGTTTGATGTTCTTTTGTGTAGAAGACTAGTGTCCAGAAAAAATAAATCATAAAACAGCATTACATTACTAATACGTGCATGCCTCAATCATAAAAGGTTTTATTTATTTTTTATTTTGTGCATAGAATTAAAAAATATATACATGTTTCTATGGTTCCTTATAAAGGTGCTGCTTTTAGTGCTGTACACCTTCATAGAAAAGATTAGTTATTAGGCTTTCTTAATTTGAAAAACCTGGCCTTAATATTGTATCATGTTTTGAAAAAATACATTTCCAGAAAGAATAGTAAGCCTCATGCCGCCTCAGTTTGACATCAAAAAATGTAATGTAAGGCTCTGTAGATGGCAGGTCAGACTTGGATGTCTATTTCTATCCATCTCCTCTGTATTCTGCCAACATAACATGACAGTGAGCTGAAAATCTGTACGTTTGTGTTGGATTTTGGAGACAGAGAACAAGAGAGTAAAAATAGCAGTTCTATTTTACTGTCAGTCAGGCTTCCATATGACTTAGTATCAAAACAAATGATTAAAATGACCCTTTATTTTTCACCATTTTGGAAAAAAAAGGGGGAATTCCTAATTTTACATCATCACCTCATTATTAACGCAACATGGTTTAAACAACATGACTTTATGAAGAGTTTTGAGTTATAAAGAGAATTTATGGCCCAAACTTGATACCAGAGTGAGTAATATTAGAGATGCACTGATCACTTTTTTTAACCTATATGTTTAGACTTCATGGATAAAAAGAATCAGGATTAAGTTTATTGCCAAGTATGTTTGCACTTACCAGGAATTTTACTTGGTGTTGATGGTGCGGACTATATACAGTATATGTATATACACTACCGTTTAAAAGTTTGGGGTCACATTGAAATGTCCTTATTTTTGAAGGAAAAGCACTGTACTTTTCAATGAAGATAAATTTAAACTAGTCTTAACTTTAAAGAAATACACTCTATACATTGCTAATGTGGTAAA